GGCATGGCTCTTGTCGTCACCACCAGTTTTCTGGAACCAGAGTTCAACTTCGGTCGTCGTTACCAGAATATGTATTTCAGCGCCTGGACGATTGTTTCTCTTGGGGAATTGTCCAACTCAAGCGTGAACATCTTCGTCTACTACAAAATGAACTCTAGATACAGAGAGACGTTTCGTGGCATGTTTTGTAGAAAGAGCTCTCGCAAATAAGGCAACAAGACTCCAGTGAACGTTTCTCACACGAAAAAATGATAAGACAATTAAGCCATACTTAATAGTTTTATTGACTGATATCAAAGAATGTTGGCTGGACTCCATAATGAGAATATGCAGTCGTAAATACGTACCGTGTTTCCCTGAAAAATGCATAACAGTTTAAGCGTATGCAGTGAATAAAAACGTGTGTTCAAAATACAATCGTCTTGACGCTAACATGATAAGCCCCTTTAGTCCAAAGTCACTTTGTAGAAAGAATGATATGGGTTTAATTAACAGTGTAAGATCTGTTAGAGAAGTGGGGCGGTTTTTTATGTTCAATTTATAACGTCTGTCTCCGAAATTACAGATCAAAGTGTGCTGAGACCCACCAAAACACCCTAAACAACTCAAGTTCTAAAGCACCTGGTTAGAGGTAGGAACCAAGAACATCCGCATCATATCTCAGCATTGTATCAATAGAGAACACGAAGTAGTCACGTAGCGGAAAGCATTTTGTTAGAAACATAATGTTATTGTTTTTAAAATATCTTCGGCACGCTGTTCAAATTGTCTGGGCCCAGAAAGTAAATGTAAAACATCGTGGTGAAATCAGGCGCTCGTCAAAATAATAAAAATGGATAGAACCCGCTTTTTTTCCTGTTTGGTAATTTTTATCAAATTTTTGTTGGATTTTCGTTGTTGTTGTTGTTGCTGTTGTTGTTGTGTTTTGGCTCAACACTCTTTTATGTCCATGTAAAAAAAAAAAATATGCGTGGATTTTACTGAACAACGTTGATCATAAGCAAAAGAGATGTAAATTTGCAATTTCCAAAGTCTTCCACGCTTTAGAAGTCACCAAACTTTGGCTAACCGTTTTCTCGTTAGTTTTTACCTCAGACACCAGACGACCCCCACTGGGGTAGTGCCGAAACAACACTTTCATCTCGTTGATTAGACATTAGCATCAGCATCAGCATCAGTAAATGTCATTGAAGGAGGCAGTTCTGAGGCTGAAGCAAAACTATGAATTGACTGTAGGGATTGATCTAAAATCTCTGTCTGTCTGTCTGTCTGTCTGTCTGTTTCTCTGTCTGTCTCTCTGCCTGTCTGTCTATAAATATTTTTAAAAGTTTTAGTAGAGATTTTACGGCGCTCGCAACTGCATAAGGTCATATAAGCGCCAGAAGATTAGAGATGTTACAAGAGAGTAACAAACATAAAAAAGAAGGAGGGGAGATAAGGACGATAGATGGTTGATAGGAAAGAAGAAGCAAACCACACCAGAGCACCCGCCAACCACCCATATAAACACAAGCACAGTTCTGGAGTAGAACAAAATAAGACAGTAAGGGAAATATTGACCAATAATGAGTTTCTCAGACAATGAGACCTGGCAATAATATTGAGAACTTTCGTTTTTTATTTCTCGCTCGTATCGTAGTTGCCAGAAATAAACAAAAAGACCACTGTGCTATCAACTCTCCCTATCTCTTTTTCTGTATAAAAAGGCATACATATAAAATACGCTGGCAAATAGTATGAATAAAAGAATGAATAACTGGTCCTGGGCCAAAGACATAACACGCAAACACACACGCACACACACAGATAGAGAGAGAGAGGGGGGAGAAAGAGAGAGAGAGAGAGAGAGAGAGAGAGAGAGAGGGGGGGGGGAGAGACAGAGACAGAGACAGAAACAGAGAGAGACAGAGACAGAGACAGAGACAGAGACAGAGACAGAGACAGAAAGAGAAAGGGAGGCACAGAGAGAAAGAGAGAGAGAGAGAGAGAGAGAGAGAGAGAGAGAGAGTAAGAAAGAAAGAGAGGGGGATAGAGAGAGGGAGATGTAGAGGGAGAGAGAGAGAGAGAGAGAGTGCGTGTGTGTGTGTGTGTGTGTGTGTGTGTGTGTGTGTGTGTGTGTGTGTAAGAGACTGAATAAGAGATTGAGACTGAGAAAGAGAGAGAGGGAGAGAGAAAGAGAGAGAGAGAGAAGGGGGTGGAGAGGGAGAGAGAGAGAGAGAGAGAGAGAGAGAGAGAATTTGATGTGATATTATCCTTCCTCTTACTTTTGATCCACGCTGGTGTCTCACTCTCAGCTTTCGGTTCCTCATCAATGTCGACCCTGTTTTCTCTCAGGATCAGTGAAAGCTGATGTTAGTCCTCAGCTGGTTGTTCTTTCTAGTCCTTTTCTTCCACCACTGAGCCCTGTAAGTTTACAACGACGATCCAAAAACGTCTTTGGGGGGCGGGGGGGGGGTTGTACAATATCTCCACACAGTTCAAGATTTTTCGTACATGACCTGGTAGTGAAGTACGCCTCCCCCAAATCTAACAGTGATCGCACAGAAAATATTTCTCGACCCAGTCTCCAAGCCATCGTCAAATCGTCCAAATTTTGTACAATTTTGTGGATACGCCTGACGATTGGTCTCATGATCAATAGATCGTCCAGTTTTTGAACAATGTATCGTTGCTATCGTTGCGTGTAACATATTGAGTCAGTCCATATGACCACTGTTATGTTTTAGGAAAAGAGAAAGTATCAAATATGGTCCATGTGGTTGCGTTAAAAGAAACTAGCCTGAAACAACCAATAATAGGAGCAAAGGAGAAGAGATAGATGCCATTCCAAAAGCACTTTTTCCGACAAAAGGACATCGAAAATCATCAATACATTCATACATCCATGCATGCATCCATGCATCCATGCATGCATCCATGCATCCATGCGTCCATGCATCCATGCGTCCATCCATCCATCCATCCATCCATCCATCCATCTATCATCATCATCCGGTGCCTCGCCAACTGACGTGGGCGATCATGGACCTCCACTTCACTCTGTCTTGTGTTGCAGCAAGGGTGTCTGTTGTTCTTGCTGTTCCTAGCCATGTTGTCAACTTGTCCAGTATCTTTTCCCTCTATCTGCCTCAGCCTCTCTTTCCATCAAACTTGCCTGTTGTTACTATATTCTCCAATGCTTCTGTCCGCATTATGTGAGCAATGAAATTTGCCTGTCGCTTTCGTCATAAGCTGTCGTCTGCAATTTGCTTCAACCAAGATTTCTTCACTTATCTTTCTAGCTGTCCATGGGATACGCAGCATGCTTATTATGAACCATAACTCTGTTGCCTTAATTGTTCTTTCTAGCTGTCTATTGATTGTCCATGCTTCGCACCCGTATAAAAGGATTGACTCGATGTAACTTTTCAGTACTTTTTTTTTCTTTTTTCCTCCACTGACGGATTGATGTTTATGAGTATCTGTTTCATTTTGTGGAAGGTTGCTTTTGCTTGGCAAATGCGGCTTTTAATTTCGGTGTGACATCTCCCATCTGATGATATAAGGGTCCCCAAATATTTAAAACTAGCTGGGCCCCCTTTCGATAAAAGGAACGATCTGTGCATTAACATCAACCGAAAGTCAGTGGTCATATTTACACTCTACTGGAATGGAGAAATAAATCTTTAGAGATGAAAAAAAAATTAGAAGGTCTAGATATAGAAATGTAGAGATTGATTCTCTATTCCGCTTTCGTCAGTGTGCACGGCTAGTGAACAGAAATCTCGCTTGTATACAATGGCGTCTTAGAAGACGGACTTTCCCAAGATTAGATCTAAACGAAATTAATGAATAACTGAAACTTAAACGACATTGACTTCAGGCCCCTCAATAAAACTGTTTGTGCACCCTTTAAATGATTCTGAACCACCGTTAATTTTGTCAAATTCGAAAGTTAAGTGGATGGGAAGTTTTAGGCGGCCAGAGTGAGAAACTTTCCCAAGTATAATATGTATAGAAGTACTTGCTTGAGGGTGGTATCATTGATTTTGATATTGCAAGTTGAGGTTGGAGCTTTTCTGCTTATCACCATTGTTTCAGTTTTCTTGATGTTTAGGCTTAAGCCCATGTTGTCACTCTCTTGTACGATGACATTTAATAGATTCTGTAGATGTTCTTCATCTTCTGCTATTAGGAGTGTGTCGTCTGCAAATCTTAGATTGTTCATATTATGTCCTTCTATCGAGATACCTGACATTTCTTCTATGTGTCTCATGATATTTTCACTATACAGGGAGAACAGGTCTGGTGAACGTACACATCCCTGTCTGACTCATCTTTCAATCTATATATCCATCCATCCATCCATACATGCATACATAAATACGTACGTACGTGCGTGCGTGCGTGCGTGCGTGCGTGCGTGCGTGCGTGCGTGCGTGCGTGCGTGCGTGTGTGCGTGTGTGGACGCGTGCGTGTGTGCATGCGTGCAAGCGTACGTGCATGCGTGCGTGCGTGCGTGCGTGTGTGCACACACACGTACATATATAAATACATACATACATACAGACAGACAGACAGACAGACAGACATACATACATACATACATACATACATACATACATACATACATACATACAGACAGACAGACAGACAGACAGACAGACAGACAGACAGACAGACAGACAGACAGACAGACAGACAGACAGACAGACAGACAGACAGACATACATACATACATACATACATACATACATACATACATACATACATACATACAGACAGAAAGACAGACAGACAGACAGACAGACAGACAGACATACAGACAGACATACATACATACATACATACATACATATATACATACAGACATACATACAGACATACATACAGACATACATACAGACATACATACAGACATACAAAAACACTGACACACAGACACACTGGCACACACTCAGACAGACAGACAGACAGACAGACAGACAGACAGACAGACAGACAGACAGACAGACAGACAGACAGACAGACAGACAGACAGATGTACACACATAAAAGTAGATATACTAGTAGTGAAGTTTCGAAACAACTATATATTTTATGATAAGAAGTGAGTATACATGCAAATCATTCCTGACCACAATGTATATCGACTTTATAATACCAACCAAACAATACCTTAATTAAACCAAACAAGTAAAGAAGTGAACTGCAAAAGTGTTCCAACGACAAAAAGTCACCTTTTACAAAGAAACCTCGTACGTCATATTTGACGACGTCGACGAATATTGCGCCTAATTTGATCTTCGCAGAAAAAAAGAAAACAGAACCCCTGTCGATGAGAGTACAAGTGGCAATAAACCTCTTGAGGTGCATTGGCTTTTCCTGCTCAGCAGTACATTGTAAGGAAATTACGTCATCTTTTTTTGCTTCAGTTTGCAATGCATTTTAGGGGGCATACATAATATGAGTGCGGGATATCATCTTTATACATGCCATCTGATCAAGCTATGGAGATAAATGATGGGTCGTATCCTTTATAATACGTGTCATCTCCACTTACAGCATAAACATAACTAGGAATACGACATGAGAAATTAAAAATTCACCTGGCAAAAAATATAAGCTTCACACATAATCAATTTGACAGGTTATGCCTCTGTCTCTTTTTTAGTTGCTCCCTTGGTCGCTGCTTCTTTTGCTCCCTCATTAACGATCTTGGACGTGTTCTCAGTTGTTCCTTCCTTGTTGTCGCTCTCTTTGTTGTTCCTTTTGCCGCTCTCCTTGTCTCTCCTTTTGCGGCCGCTCTCTTTCTTGTTCTCTACGTCGCTCTCCATCTCCGATTCTGAGTCCGTGTCTGAGTCTCTGGAAGAGTCATCCCGGGAGCCGTCAGACGCACCGCTGCTGGAGGAGTTGACTGATTGACTGCTGTCAGAGCGGCTCCCCTTCTCCTCATCCTCCTCATCTTCCTCCTCCTCCTCCTCCTCCTCCTCCTCCTCCACCTCTTCCAAATCATACTTGTCAATGATGTTCGTATTTCTGGAAATAATGGAGAGTCGACGCACTGTTAGCAATGCTCGCATTACTATATTCGAATTGCAGTGCAAACTCCCGAACTATTACAGCCATTTTATTTTATGTTTTTTTGCTTGGGCTGTGCAGTACTGTTATGGGTGATTTTCATGGAGTTTTTTTAATTTGATCTGTCTTATATAAAATTGACATTAAAATTCGAATTCTAAAATATCTTGAAAGGGTCATAAAAGGCCGTGAATATGTAGCAGAGAACTATGCTAACAATATGACGACTTACACAAAAAAAAGTCTGAAATTGATTTCATTACGTTTCTTTGTCATTTCAAAAATATTTCAACGCTCGTATTTATTCATTAGTTTACAAGGGTTCCTGGCCAGTAATCAACACTATCTGGTTGGTGGGTGCTCTGGTACGGGTTGCTCCTTCTAACAGCCCTCGTCCGTCTCGCTCTTCCTTCTATTTTTAACGTGGTATTATTCTTTTGAAACACATCTGATCTCCAGAATCTATATGAACTACTTGTATGACAGGGTCCGCAAAACTGCTACAAAAACTTAAACAATTCGCCTTTAGTTTATGAGGGTTCTGGCCAGTGATAAGCAGTCGTAGACTTACTCGCTTTTGAAGTAGAAGATGATGGCGAAAAGTACCATTGGGCAGACGACGCAGATAGCCGGCAGGACCGTCCAGAAGGGCAACCATATGGACACTGTCTTGTCCATCAGATCGGGGTAGCACTGTTCAGCGATCGAAAAGGGTCGTTTCGCTGAAAGTGAACGGATGGCACACAATGTTTTGCGTCCACTTCAACTCAGTATAAATCACTTAGAAGACCGTCATGGGGGAATGATTGGCGGCTCCTTTTCCCGTATCAAACATATTCAGTCTCCTTTTCTTTTCTCCTCCGTCTTTTTCGTTTGTTACTATATTGTAAGACCTATAATCTTCGGCACTTACATGACCTAATTGTGTTGCAAGAGCCGTGATAGGCTTACTTAAACTTGTTTAAAGCCAGTTAGCGACAATACTGGTTTGGGGGGGGGGGGATTCCCTACTATAATGTTATATACCAGATAAAACGTTGTGGCAGGGGGTTGAAGGGTCAATACTCGTAGGTTTTATTTCCTTTTTTAAAGTTTTAGTAAGGTTTTATAGCGTTCGGAACTGCCTACGGTCATATAACTTATAAACGCCATGGAGTGGATGTCAACAGAGAAGTCCAGACGGAGAATCGGGCTCACTTTGCTCATTTCTCTAGCTTCAACAGCACAAAGTCGGCTTCGACTATCATAGCACCCCGGAAATAGCTTGTTAAACAAACAGAAGAAGTAAACGAAATATAATGATGATAGTAATGATGAGGAAAGAAATAGCAGAAGTTCCCCGTATATTGTTAAAGCACAGTATGAGCATGGCATTGATAAATCAGCCCATTTACAATTCTACTGTGCATAAGAACATGTTAATATCCCCCCTTTAGAAATGATCTAAAGACAACTTCAGTCAGTAGCCCTGGTGGGGAGTAACTATTTCATTTGTGTCCCTGCGTTGTTTTTCTCTTCCGGTCTTACTTATATCCTGTTTTGTAATTACTGGCTGTTGTTGTATGGATATTCTTCTCTCTCTCTCAAACAAGCATGCACACAAACAAACAAACACACAATCTCTTACGTATTTCAGAAAATATATAGTTCTTTCTTCCCTTCCTTCTGAACACTGTTTCTCTCCACCTTTGTCACGCTTCCCTCATCAACCCAGCCCTGACTATATCTAATATACTTTATTGACATCTCCCCGTGAAAACGTAGTGTTTTGTTAATTTAAAATTTCTATTATTTGGGTTACATTTGTATTTGTTATTTTAGCATTTTAACTTGCAAGCCCCAATTATGCACTAAAATGCCCTATTGGATTTTGGAATTTTCTATGTTCAAACAACTGTATCACTGTCATTGAATGAGTTAGGATCATTGAGTTTAGAACATAGATCTAAATACTTGCGAAAAGTGTGACACGGTTGGTCCTCAGAGTTCGGGTAAGCAGTTTCAAAAATCTTAATGCTAAATGAAAGAGTTCTTGTTGGAATTAACTAAAAAGGGGAATGGCTGTCGTTTCGATCATAGGTTGCATCTTAGGCGAGTGCGTGGGATGTGTGTGTGTGTGTGTGTGTACATGTGTGTGTACGTGTGTGTGTGTGTGTGTGTATGTGTGTTTGAAAGTGTGAATGTTTGCATGACTCACGAAGGGCAGCCGCGGCGCACAAACCGTTGACTACGTCACAGTCAACCCCTGGACCACACACGTGAGAGCAGAGTCGGGCGCAGTTAAAGCCAAACCTCCCCTTGGCGCACACTAGGAAGAGAGGGAAAAGGCTACTGATTGTTAATTTACGTACATTTTGTTTATCTACATTGGAAGGGCAGTCTTCTAGATTTTCTCGTTTTATTCACATTTACTTGGATTCCAGAGAAATAATAAAGAGTAAAGTGTAGGTAAGGGAAGTATTTGTGAAGGGTTAAAAGGTTTTGAGGATTTGTGTGCATGTTGAAAAGGTATATTTGTGTGTATTTGTGTGTGTGTGTGTGTGTGTGTCTGTGTCTGCGTTTGTGTGTGTGTGCGCGCGTGTGTGTGTGTGTGTGTGTGTGTGTGTGTGTGTGTGTGTGTGTGTGGGTGGGTGGGTGGGTGGGTGTGGGTGGGTGTGTGTGTATGTGCGAGTGTGTGTATGTGTGCATGGGTGTGTCTGTGTGTGTGTTTGGGAGAGAGACTGGTGATTGTTTACATGAATGTTATGTTCACCCACACTACCAAATGTTTTGGATATCACCCTGACAAATATCGTTTACACACACCCTGACAACTTAAATGTCGTAGCCACCGATCAAAAAAAAAAATCGCTGCCCCAGAAGTACAAAATTCTAGATCTATCTGCTCAGTATCTAGTTTTAAGGAAGTTGACGTTTTAAAAAAAATTGAGTTTCTCAACATATCAAGCTTTTTTAAAGCAATTCTTTGAACATCTCATAACGACTCTGAAATATTTTACGATTTTGATAAAGGGCATAGAACACTTGGTTTCTGACCTATTGGTCTTATTGTTTTTGTTTTGGTAAGGTTTTAAGGCGCTCGCCACTGTATAAGATCATATGAGCTCCAAGGGGTGGATGTCAACAGAGAAGTTCAAACAGGCTTACTCTGCTCACCTCTCTAGCCTCAACAGCACAATGTCTGCTTCGACTATAAAGGCACCCCGGAAATAAAAGTTAACAAGAGAGTGACTAATATACAAAAAAGAGAAAAAAGATGATAATAAAGAGGATGAAAGAAAAAGCAGCAATTCCCCCTATGTTGTTTCTGCACAGTATGAGCTTGACATTGATAAATCAGAACATTTTTACAATCTACTGTACATTAGAACCTGTTAATACCCCCCCCCCTTTTTTGGAGAATTGCTTAAAGACAGTGTCAGTCAGTAGCACTGACCTGGTTGGGGGGGGGGGACAACTTGGTTTAAGGAATTCAAAATGGACAAAGATGTCATAAAGGACTTGATAATTCTAAGGCAGCAAAATGTCAAAGACCCCAACAATTGTTTTTTGACACCCGCCCTGAAAAATGTGGATACCCATCCCGATAACGTGCGTGCTTGCCTTGACAGCTGTTTGTCCTTCCCGCGTCACAGAAGGTTCCATCTGGGCATGGGAGCGAGCATATATTGTTGCACGTTGTTTTAACCATTCTTTGGCAATGTTCTGAAGCATAACGATTAGAAAATAACGCATACACATTACTATACAGAGTATTTCGAAAAGAATGAACCGATTTTATAATGCATTGCTTCATGTATCAAGCATCGATATAGAATGAGTCAGTGACCATTTGAAAGAGGATTTATTTTTTAAAATGTAATTAAAATAAAAAGAATGAACCAATTCTGTCACACAGTGCTCCAGTTCTTAAGGATCGTAATGGAATGAGTCAGTGTCCATTTGAAAAGGGAATTATACAACTTCTGAATAGCCAGATATTACAAGGTGTGCTTCGTTCTTCCTTTGAAGGAAATACCGCCCCGTTGGCATCGAACGATCGCACTTTTGTTTGATGAAAACGTGCCTCAGCGATGGTTGAAAAGGGGCCCAAGATCTTGCTCTGTGCTTGGACTACCAAATCCACCGACCTCAGAGTGTGTGATTTTTTTCTTGTGGGAATATGTAAAAGACCGCGTTTATGTTCCACTGTTACCCGCTAACCTCGATGACCTAAATATCTAATAACACCTAATAACAACTGCTATCAACTCACTGAGTAGACCGTGATAATATGGTGAAACGCGTCTAGGATGAATTCTCTAACCACATTAATGTTTTCCTTGCTGCTGCTGGCGGTGGCCACATTTAACACTTGTAAGACTGGAAATAAAATTAGTTATTGTGATTACACTTACTTGTGCCATAGCTTGGATTTTCTATAGCTTTTCCTTTTTAAAATATTGCCTAATCATCAATAGTGTTGTTACACTAGACCACACCGAGTCCCGTCTTCAGTCTAACATATTGTTATGTTTTTTCTTTCTCCTCACTCAAAGACAGCCCACATCACAATAATTCAATACAATTGCAACAAAATGATCAATGTCACAAGATGGGGCCACCATATAAGAAGGGAACCCGCTTACCATAACACTTGAATTTAAACTTGTTACATCCATAGCCTTTCTTAGGGCAACTGACGTCACAGCTCCCACGACACCGAATCCCAAAAGTGTTGTCGGGACATTCTGGGAGATGCAAAACAAGTTGGGGGTTTTTTAAATTCTGGATGGTTTAACGTGCAATATATATATAGTTGCTCCACATCAATCCAACACACTCCAACACCCTGCTCCTCAGTGGGTCATTGATAAAGAGAGAATTTGTACTCTTTTCCAACAAAAATAGAATTGCACTTTCCTTTGTCTTCCAATCTTTTGTTCTTTCTGCTTTCCTTTCCTTTTTTCTTTCGTTCTTTCTTTCTTTCTTTCCTTCTTTTTTCTTTCTTTCTTTCTTTCTTTCTTTCTTTCTTTGTACTCACCTACCTATCTACCTACCTACCTCCGGGATCTATCTATCTATCTATCTATCTAACTATCTATCTAACTATCTATCTATCTATCTATCTATCTGTCTGTCTGTCTATCTATCTATCTATCTATCTATCTATCTGTCTGTCTGTCTGTCTATCTATCTATCTATCTATCTATCTATCTATCTGTCTGTCTATCCATCCATCTATCTATCTATCTATTTATCTATCTGTCTATCTATCTATCTATCTATTTATCTATTTATCTATCTATCTATCTATCTATCTATCTATCTATCTATCTGTCTATCTATCTATCTATCTATCTATCTATCTATCTATATATCTATCTATCTATCTATCTATCTATCTATCTACCTTGACACAGCCCGTCAGCGTTGAGGTGGTATCCGTACTTGCACTCACCACACCTGTCGCCAAAGTCCCGGTCACAGCCCGTGCACAGACCTACCACTTTGAAGGTACAATTTTTGTCACAGTTGTAGCCGTACTTGTCCAGATCCTCACACGCTGTCATAGACACATAAACAAAGACACGACGTTTAAGGATGAGAAACGCGCGCGCACACACCTACTGCGAAGGAAGCATAAAATTCACCACACAAACACACACACACACACACACACACACACACACACACACACACACACACACAAACACACACATAGATCTACACACACTGATGCATGCACATAAAGACACCCACAGCGTACTATCTTAAGCTTAAGGTTTACTCATTGGTCTTATTTAAATAAAGTAAAACATCTGTCTTGAATAGAAGTTGAGATATCTGTAGTTGAATGTAAAATTTGAAGGGGTTGAAACGAGTGTCAAACTCAAGGCAATTACCTCCAAACAGCAGGGCAACTGCTTGTAGAAACAAGCTCTGAACTCACCACTCCTCTTGTTGATGTAAGAACTGAGACATCTCCCAGTCTCATGGTTACAATTTTCTCCAAGCTCACAGCCCACACAGTCCTTTTTGGGAAGATTAAGAGGGGGAGTCGATGGGGTGGAGCAAATTAATCAGTGTGGAGTTTGTTAAGAATGTAACGCCTTACTACGCGTGGGTAGGTCATTTCAATGGCTGTCAACTTGGGGCAGAGGTGAAAGTGTTTTAAATGGGGTTTTATACAACTAGCACGAGACGGGAACAAAAAACAGGAAGTCAGGTTTTCTTTTCATGACTCAAAGAGAATTTTCATGACCACGGTAAAGTTCCACCAAAAGGAAGGTGGATATTTTGTAACTATTGTTTGCTTTTTGTACAACTTTAGGAAGTTGGGTCGTTCGGGCTCTGTCTTTCATGGCAACTTATTACGCCTGTCACAGAAAGATATGATACAGGATGTGTAGTGGCTTCATGTAGCATACACAAAACGAGACAAGTGGATGGTAAAAAGTTCAAGTTTACTCTTGTGTTGATGCTGAGCATTTGTATATTGGTGCACTGGTATATCCACCCGAATTTCCTTCATTAATCAATAAGGTTTATCTAAAACATGTTTGAACACAGTAATTTAAAGGGCTAGAAGTCATTTCAGCTTGAAATTCCACCAAGAATATGATGTACGTGGCTTGGACATATGATGACTTCCATAACAAATAGGTGAATTATGAGGGTAGGGAAGATACTTTTATGACCTCATTCTACTAAAATATAAATTACTTCTACCATTACGCGGAACACTTAATTCGGTTAGGGAAAAAAAGGGCCATGGCCATATCAATGTAAAGCTTTGATTGAAATTCGATGCAGATGTAGGAATCAGAGTTGCAGCTGATAATAAAAGTAGAAAATTTCACTGCATTTGATTACATCAATGACATTCTTTTTCGGCAAAACTTAGTAAGTCTTTTAACATCTGTAGAATCAAGTCCCTGGGATTTTCAATAAGTATTCATTAAGTATTCTAGAATACAGAAATTCTGTTAAGACAAATTGATACATGTCCGTGTGCAAAAGCTGGAGAGTTCGTGTTCGATAATTAAGAGAAATTTGACAATCAGTTGTGCCACAAATTTTGACTGCACTCTAGTATGTCACAGATCGAGACGGGATCAGTTGCAGCTTTTGTTTGGGTGTTTTCGTTTTGGATTTGCTTTGGACTTTTTTTCACCTTACGGCATTTAGTCCCATATTTTCCAACAGGGCATAAAGTGTCGTTGCAGCTGGGGCCCATCCAGCCGTCCTCACATCCCGCCGCACAATGTCCGCTGTCAAGGTCACACTGCTCGCCGTATTTACAAGCACAGATGTATTGACAGTCGGGCCCGAAGAGACCAGTGGAGCAGATCGTCTCTGTACATGATCTACCCAGCCACTTGCCTGAAGATAAAAAAGCTTTTGTTGTTGTTATTTTTATTGACGTTGATATCGATGTCGATGTTGTTGTTAATGTTGTTGTTACTGTTGTTGTTGCTGTTTTTGTTGCTGGTCTGTTGTCTTCGTGTTTGTTGTTGTGACTGAGGTGGTGGTGGCGGTTGATCTTGTGGTCGTTGTTATTGCAGTTCCTGCGTGCTGGAAGTGGTGGTGGTATTTGTTTGTTTAGAGTGTTGGCAATATGTTTTGTCATAGTCGCTGACAGCTTTGTTATTATTGTTGTTGACAAGTCAGGTGGAGCCCAAAAAAAATAGGTTTTGATTTTTCAAAAATCTTACTTATTTACATAGTACTTACTTGGTTGAAGAATAGGTATCGTAACAGATGGTACAATACCATAGCTGCTCCTCTCTCCTCTTCAGGATCCATGAAAGGGTTGGCTGATTGTGCCAGCAATCAGCTGGTTGGATATTCTTTTGGCTTTCTCATACAGGTTGCCGTCTCTTCCCAAACCTCTTGAGACACCAGCTTCCCTCAGTCTTTCCAATGTGTGTGATGTGGAGCATTCGACTTCTCGGTGGTCATTGAATCATACTGTCCATGCTGTCATGACTGTTGGTAGACATGTTGCCGCCATTTTCAGTTTGGCCGGCTAGCTCCAACTCCTAGCTCCTGCATGACCAGGGCTAAAGATCCATACTGCCTTTGTGAGCCTGTGCTTTGAACCGCCTCTCGGCAGTCTGCACACGCCAAGTGCTTCTTCACTTTTTCGAAGGTACTCATCGGGTCAGTGGCAAAAACGGCAGACGGATGCTCCACCGCCGTAATCGCGTTTAAGGCCTCTATGAAGCCCTTCGTCTCCATGCACATGCTGGGCGTGGTTATACTATAGTGAGGTCAAACATTCGTAACGCAACTTATTGTTAAATGTTTCCTTAGCTATCGAACAGAGACCCGTCAGTTTTTGCACAATGACTGATATGAATTAGTGTTAAAAGATCAATATCTTTATAAACACCTGTAATCGATATTCTAAAAAATCCCTTAATAAATACTAATAAAATATCCCAGCTGGTGTTTTCTACAGATTTTTAAAAGGTTTACAGCAGGGGCAATATCGCTTTTAAAAGAAAGTCCGTCATTTTTTTTTCTAATCGCGACATTATGCTTATTGAACGTATGCTTTGAGAACCTTAAGGCCCAGTGTAAAAAATATGTTCACTAAAGAATCAATTTTTTGTCCCAAGTTTTTCCACTAAAATAGGTATCATTGGTGAGCTGTGGTGTAGGCCAATGCATATATGCAAAATGTGTGTGAGAAGCGGAAAGTGCTGTGAACAATCCCATTTTCTGCATGACGGAGATTTATAGTATTAATATATAATAAAAATGTATTTAAAAAATATTATTAAGTTAAGACAAATTGATACATACTGCTGTGCAAAGTATGGGTGCCCCATTGGTTCACCAGTTAAAGGGGTATTCGAGGAATTTTTGATCGAACTATAGTGGCTCCTGACTGCTCTCTGTCTCTTTCTCTCTTTCTCTCTCTCTCTCTCTCTCTCCCTCTCTCTCTCTCTCTCTCTCTCTCTCTCTCTCGCTCTCTCGCTCTCTCTCTCACGCACACACACTCTTTTTATCTGTGTGAGTGTGTATGTGTGTGTGTGTGTGTGTGTGTGTGTGTGTGTGTGTGTGTGTGTGTGTGTGTGTGTGTGTGTGTGTGTGTAACCCCGTTTACACGGGCGCTGAAAGCCTATCCACGCTGTGCTGATCCATCTGTAAAGATAACTACGTCGTCCTGCTCACTGTTCTCCTCTATCAGCGTCTTTGCCTGCCTCGGCATTGACTGCCCCCTCTGTCCATTCACAACATTCTCTTCCTAAGGTTGCTACCACTCGAGCATACTCCCCAAGTGTACCAGTGACACTCACCCATTCGCTGCCCCTTCCGATGTCTTGCATTTCACAGCATTTAGCTAAACTCGTCGCTGCCTCATTCATCCATTCAGTCCCTCTAAGCAGACGTGAGCATACAGTTCTTCCCACTTTGTCATGCAGTGGGTGCTGATCACCGGTGCTAACTCATAGGCTTTCACCTGACCCATCTTGTGGTGTTCTAAAATGCCTGGGGTCCAGGAGATTGAGCATAGCCTCGCAGGATGCGTCTCGTGTGCACCAGAGAAAAGTCCGCATACCGTCGTTCTGAATTCTTTTGAGGCGTTTCAGCTGCGACGTTGACAAGTTAGGAGACCGAGACCATAGTCTATCATAGACAACACAGTATAGCTAAAATTCTTTGTGGCATTTTGTTACACGCCATGGTTTTCATGGTCCGACGTTTTCTGGTTCTTGTGACGATCCTGTTTATGTGATATTTACCTGAGAGTGATCTATCAAAAGTAATACCTAGATACCTCAGTGAGTGCTCACGCTTCATTATGGTCGTTGAAACATACCGCAAATGCTGCCATGACTGTTGGTAGACTTACTTGCATGATGCCGCCATATTCAGTTTGGCCGGGTAGCTCGAACTCCTGCATGACCAGGGCTAAAGATCCATACAACCTTTGTGAGTCTGCAGCTTTGTATTGCCTGTTCCCAGTCTGCAAACGCTAAGTGCTTCTTCAAATTTTCGAGGGTACTCATCGTTGATGGTGACTGTGGGCACCTCTGTTTTTACGGCGTGAATATTGCACAAGCACCAAACCACACAGGCCATGTCAAGGTGGAGTTTGTCGTTGTTGTCTACACACCATTGTTCGCTGACTTCCCCTCTTGCGTTCAGACTGGTGCAGTTCCAGTACAGAGGCAGAGAAAAAACGGCATGAATCTGACACGAATTCGACACTTTGTCTCGCTCGCGTGTATCGTTGGCCCACCTACACCTGTATGGAAGAAACCATATGCAGACACTCCAGTGCTGCCTAGTAACCCATACCTTTGAGATAAGAGGCCATGATGCCTATGAGGAGCATATTGTAACGCTCCAACACTCCCTTTACACCATACAGCCTGCCTTGGACTTGGGTCGGGCACAAATCCCACATGGAGATTCTCGATGAGGGTACACCTAATAAGGGGTACCCAATAGCGAGCGCGGATCTGGTCGGGTCGGGTCGAGTCGGGTCGGGTTGGGTCGGGTGGGATCGTCGGGTTGGGTCGTTTTCGGGTGGTTTCAGTGAACACTACAACCCCACCGCGATTGTACCCGACGACCTGGGACCTGGAAGTTAAAGTAGAGAAACCTTTAACCTCAATGGCTTCCAGGGCTCCTTTCCGCAGTTCCCTGTTGCAGTGCTGCGGCAGCCTGGAATCCCATAAACATGGTTACAATAATTACATCGTTAACTTTCTATTATCAAATATCGTTCATAAGAAGATAGCTCAAGTTCACTCGGTCAAAAAAGTGTCCGCGGATGTCCGCGCATTGGTTCTGATGGTACTGCAGTCTTTGTTTTGAAGCTCTCTTTCTTTTCTCCAGAAGAAGAATAGGAATAGCACAGTTTGTAAGTTTCGCTTTTATTATTTTTTTTACACAAGTAGGGTAACTCTGTTGGCAAAGTCTGCACTGTTTCGAAGAGGGCGCCTCCGGATTTTGAGTGTCAACATGGACACGTGACTCAGCCTTGTTGTGATTGGCTGCAAAGCACCCGATCGCGCGATTGGCAGGCCTGAAAACAAGCGCGTTTGTTTTTCTAGGTCAGCGACCGAGTCGATCGGTTAGTGTGACGATGGCCGCTTTGCGCCTTCAATTTGGCTTGCCCTGACCCAACCCGAGCCGACCCGATCGCGTACGTGGGCACCCCCTATAAGGTGCAATACCGTGAATCTCTCCCTCCCCCTCGTGTCGTGGGCTTGACAAGTTGCTCCAACGTCGATTGATACCGTGGTACCTGCAAAAAGCTTAGTGGAGCCCATCTCCATGCAAGTGTAATACTGGGTGCCCGTTGCGGATGGGATCGGGTCAGGTCCGGTCGAGTCGGGTCCATCGCCCGATTCTTGGCTTAAAAACAAATGCGTTTGTTTTTGAGGCGACGAGTTGGGCTCGATCGGCTTGTGCCACGATAGCTGCTTTGTGCCCTCAGTGTGGCTTGCAAACCGACCCGACTTGACCCGATCCCCCAATGTGTACACCGCAAAACGGGTACATGACTGAAAACAAATCAATAAACAAAATCAGCACGGCACACATATCTGCACAGGAGCAATATCACCATTATCTTAATAGTATTTGTAAAATGATATCCAATGTAAAGGAGCCACCTCTAGGTCGGAAAAAAATCAAAGACAACACTTAAGGAGACAGGCACAGCCAGCAATACTGCTCAATGTCAACTCTACCCTACCTTCCAATACTCGAGGGGCATGCCAAAAGTCACCTGACCATCAAAGAGTAAAAGTAGAAATCTGAAATTTGCTACCAATCTAAATCTTTCTCTTTGTAGTCGCCTCCCACAGTTGTACCTTTTTTGTCATCGGTGTATGACCTTGAAAAGACATTGAGAATAAAAGACTCTCTCTCTTCGTCAGAAAACCAGCCGTCTACCGATTCTTTGACCTCATCATCACTTTTAAAATACCTTCCTTTTAAGTCCTTTTTCAGTTTGGGGAATAATAAAAAGTCGAACGGGGTTAATTCTGGAGAATAGGGTGGATGTGGCAAAATTTCATAGCCTGTTTCTGCAGTTTTTCTTGAAGTGCGTGCAGGCGCGTTGTCGTGAAGAAGCAAAATGCCTTTTCTTATCTTTCTTTTTGCTATTTTCTTTCATAACCTCTAGTAGTTTTTTAGCTGGTTAGAATAATGGCCTCCGGTGATCGTATGTCCATTTTCAAGATAGCCTGTCATAATCACTCCTTCTTGGTCTAAAAAAAAATTGATAGCATCACTTTTCCACTTGATTGCTGTATCTTTACCTTCTTTGTGTTGGAGACGGAGGCTATTTCCACTGCATTCTTTGGATTTGGACTCAGGATCGTAGTAGCGGGTTCATGTCTCATCCATGTTACAAGTTTTTCAAAAAATGTTGTTTTATAATTTTCATACAGACCAAGCAGTTCTTGACAACAATCTCACATTGCACTTTTTGAGGAGCAGTCGACAAACGTGGGAACCATCTGGCAGAAACCTTGGTCATATTCAAATATTCCTTTAAGATTCGTTCAACTGATCCAATGCTAAGCCAAAAAGAAAAAAAGAAAGAAAGAAAGAAAGAAAGAAAGAAAGAAAGAAAGAAAGAAAGAAAGAAAGGAATAAATAGTAACAACACCAACACAAGTATCACCAAAACCACCATCCACACCAACAACAGCAACAGTAATCACATAAACAAATCTACAATAAGCACTACAAAAAAGAATACTAAAGGAATGACCAAAAAAACAAATAACAACATTTACAACAATAACAACGACAACATCACCAGATGCAACAAAAACGATAACGACAACAATAACCCCAACAGCAACTAACAACAGTAACAAAACTACCAGTCAACACCACCGACAGATAAAACAACAACGACAGACAACACGGCCTACCTGAAGCAAAGCCCTTACCTGAACATCCCTTGAACGGCATCTGCAGACAGTGCCCTTGCTCCTGGGCGCACTTCACGGGATCTGCACAGTGGCACGTCTTCTCACAGTCTCTGCCGTACCGTCGGATGGGACAGTCGCTTTCAGCGCAGTAGTTACCCCCAGCCCCGGGCCAACATGACACGCACAATCCTGAAAAGGTGCACCAGGCATCCCCCCGACACGCGCAACCGGTTAAGTTATGGGTCTCGTAGTGGTGGAACTTTCCCGCGTCAAATTTCGTCCTGTTGCAGGATTTTGAATCCCCATCGCCATACCAGCCTGGTATGCATTCCCCTCGACATTTGCCGGTAATAGAGTCGCAGTCGTCCTTGCACATACAGGTCTTATCACATTTTGGCGGGTTCCACCTTAAGAGAGAAACATGGTAAAATATTACGATGACCATCACCTCTCACTTTCCACTCCGTCTTCGGGCCGAAACAGCTTTCAAAGCCGTCTCCAATTATAGGATAGCTACTGAACTACCAGACAAGCAAATAACTTCTGGTTAGCTAACATAATTTCAAGAATGTGTCAACGTATTGGTTTTTGAGAGCATCTCCTCTGTTTTCTTTTAAAGGATATCATAATAATATGTGAGGCAGCGTGGTGGAATCAGGCTCTCGTCAATGTTTGGGCATGTAGAGTTACTTGTATCATATTAAAGCTTGTTTATTTGTCTTTATTTGGGTGAAAAAAGTAGCCATCTATCTTGAATACAAGTCCAGATATTTGTGAATGAAGGGGGTGGGGGTCACCTGCTTTTAGAGGTAAGATAAGTGAGAAAATGGCCGCCAAAGATTAGTTATTTCCTTAGCTTAAGAGTCCGTGGTAACTGAAAATTTACATTTTGTGTGCCTTTAATCAACGTTTTTCAGAAAAGTCCATACAGAAATGAGTTCTTTTTTAAATTCCCAAACCTGTGGAAAAATGCAAATTTCTTCATTTTGATTAGTTTGACGAGAGCCTGATTCCACCACGCTGCCTCACTTATATATTTTTTCCATTGTGCCACTTTTCGGAGGGCCAACTACCCTACCAAGTAAAAGCGGTCAGTTACTGAAACACGGACAAAAACGGCTTTTTATGTTTCGATCTTGAGAGACGGAGGAGCCTCTTCATCAGCAGGAACAATGAAGGAAAGCGGACAAAGTCGAAAGGGCTCTCCTGATCCGAAACCTCTGACGAACAAGTTTCTCCGGATTGCGTCATGGAATGTTCGCACCATGTATGAAGCAGGAAAGAGTTCTCAAGTAGCACGAGAGATGAAGAAATACATGCATTACATACTTGGAGTCAGCGAAACACACTGGACACAGTCTAGACAGAAGCAACTCGGCTCGGGGGAACAAATATTGTATTCTGGGAGGGAAGACAAGCACCATGCGCAAGGAAAGGAAATCCGTCTGTGTTAGAATGCACAGAAATCACTTACAGGATGGGAACCACATGGGGAGAGGATCATCATGGTTTCATTCTTTACAAGGACCAAGAGCATCAAAGTGAATATAGTCCAGATCTACTCCCCAACAAAAGATGCTTCAGGGTCATTGACAAACTACCAAGGAAGGATATCAACATCATAATGAGAGCTACCAATGCCAGGCTTGGTCAAGACAACGTAGTTTATGACGGAACTATTGGACAACATGGCTTGGGACAAATGAATGAGAACGATGAGCGTTTCGCAAATATCTGTGCTTTCAACAGTTTTGTCATTGGAGGCACAGTTTTTCCTCAGAAGAAGGTTCACAGGGCTACCTAGGATTCGAAAGATGGAGTGACGGAGAACCAGATAGATCTTTTTTATATCTCTTGTAGGTTCGGGCGTTTGTCCTAGTAAAGAGATTGGCAGACGTTGGATCGGATCATCATCTCAACCTTTGACTCAAAAAGCACGGAACAGGCACATAAACCAAAAGAAGTTCCAAGATAGTCTCTAAGACGGACACTAGAGAGAGGAGCTTCAGGTGCATGTGAAGAACAGATTTCAACCTCCAGCTGGTATTGGTGGAGGATTAGCCAACACTCATTGGATTTAAGTAGGAATAGAATACAACTGAAGGTAGAAGCGAATGCAAGTAGAACAAGAGGATCAAGGGCGGATGCATTTGAGAAGTATATGACAACAGCTAAGGATGTCAAGAAGTCCCTAAGAAAAGGACAAGGAGGAATTCATGAACAACTGGCAAAAAAGGCAGAGGAAGCTGCGGTAGGAGGGCACATGCGAATCCTTTACCAGACTACAAAGACTCTTGCTGGAAAATATGGGGAAACTAAATTACCAGTATAGAACCAAGAGGGGAAAACTATTTTTGGAAAGGAAGCTCAGTTGAAATGATTGTAGAGCATTTCAAAAGTCTCCTGAACAGACCACCACCGAGTAACCCGCCAAACAACCTGCCAACAAGAAATGGGTTACCAATCAAGAGATTATGGATGCCATTAAGACGCTGAATAAAGGTAAAGCGCCTGGTCCTGTTCAGATTCCAAATGAAACCCCAAAATCAGATGCCAGTGCGACGGCAAGACCTATTCCTCCCATTGTTTACCATGATCTGGAATGAGAGCAAGTTCCGAAAGGATTGGAAAAAGGACACTTCGTGAAGCTTCCAAAAAGGGGGATATCCGCAACTGCTGTAACTACAGAGGGATCACTCTTCTTTCAATACTAGAAAAGGTTTTCAACAGAATCATTCTGGAAAGAATCAAGGGATCCAAGACTACGGAAAAATCGCTCAACCACCGACCAGATTGTCACACTGGGGATCATTTTGGGACAGTCCCTGAAGTGGAATTCCCAGCTGATCGTCAATGAGAAGACCTTGGACAGTATACACCAAGCAACACTATGGAAGACAATTTAAAAAATCATGGATTCCCACTGCACTAAGATTGGGGTGAGACAGGGATGTTTACTATCCCCATACCTCTTCATGTTGGCGGTAGATTGGCTGATGAAAGAAACCACCAAAGTACACAGAAATGGTATACAGTGGACCCCATGAACACAGTTGGATGATTTGGATTCTGCAGATGACTTGGTGCTTCTCTTGTACACCAGAAAACAAATGCAAGCTAAGACTGCAGTGTTAAATAGACTGTTGGATTGAGGATCCAACCCGGAAAGTCAAAGGTTCTAAGGACAGATGCTCAACGAAAGGAGCAGGTCACAATAGAAGGAACTGCACTAGAAGACGTTGAATCCTTCTACTGTCTTGGAAGTATAATTAACAGAAAGGGAGGAACAGGTGCTGAAATAAAGTCCCACATTAGAAAAGCACAAGCTGCTTTCATATCTTTAATAGGATTTGGAAGACAAGTTCTATCTCACTTCGAACAAAACCTGAGATTTTCAATTCAAATGTGACATCAGTCTTGTTGCATGGATATGAGATATGGAACACATCACAGACCTGCATAAGGAGGATCCAGGTTTTCTTGAACAAAAATGTCTAAAACATTTACTGAGGATCAGATGGACAGACAGGGTCAGCAACGAGGAGGTGTTAAGGAAAATAGGACAGATCTCAGTCACAGATGATGTATGAAGAAGGCGGTGGCGATGGATTAGACATGTTCTCGGGAAATCAGGCAGCTCCATAACAAAGACAGTACTCGATTTGAATCCACAGGGTAAAATAGCAATGGGGACACCACATGGAACCTGGAGAAGAATCACAGAAATTGATGTACAGAAAGGTGGGGAGACATGGAATAACATCAAGAGACAAGCCGAGGACAGAGAAAGTGGAAAATGTTTGGCCGTGGCCTATACCCTGGTGCAGGGTGAGAAAGGCAAGGATGGTGATATATAAATTCTCACCTTCAGTTTAAAACATGCACACTTTCCTTTAAAATATCTGCCTCTTTCGATCGTATTTATACAGCCTGCATTTGAGTATCCTTTCTTCCCACTCACACTCACTTCACTCATTTCCACTGTACGTTCATTCATTTGCTATCTTTCCTTAGAGCCTGTTCTTTTTCGTGATACTAATCACATTCTATATTTCTTTTGCTTCATAACATTTTCCTCTGTTCCGCCCCTCCCCCTCCCCCCGAAACATATTGAAACACCTAAAATCTATATGTATAATTTGTATTGATTTTACCTTGCATTTACTACGATTCAACCCCATATTGGCATTAAAAAGCTTCAGTCATAGAGTCAGTCATTAGATTGCAATAAGATAAGGTTTGACAGGCAGAAAACAATATTTTAAGCTAAAAAGCACAAAAACTCAAGAAAATGTTTTTGTAACACCGGTGGTCTCTTTAGATACGTATTTTTAACCCAAAAATGCGAAAAATTAGGAAGGATGAAACAACAAACAAAATAACATTTGCACATGACTCCTCTATAAATTAATTGTATTAATAAGCCTCGATGAAAAAGAGTATCTCCTTGAAATATAGCAGAGGTGCCAACCGCAGCCACTACTAAACCTGTTTTAATTGCGAGATTTTGTTACAGTATTGTTATTCCCTATTAAAACATTCACTGTGTGGCCGTGGCAGCTCTCCTGAATGACAGGGTAGGAAGCGCTTCATTTCCAAATTACCTGAGTGTGGCCAAAAGCGTCACTTGGATGCGGCTGCTTACGTTTAGCAACTATATCGTCACTAACAAACACGCAAGGGCAAGAGCAAGTTACATACACTCTAGATCTACATGAAGCAAATTAATCGTTGTGCCTAAATGAACATTACATTTAAACAATCAGTCAGTTAATGCCTTTCACCCCAGGAAGGGTTTAGGCCACATACAAGCTACTTCCAATTATCTCTGTCCTGGGCCATCCTTCCATGCTCCTTCCAAGTCAGCTTCATCTCTCTCATGTCCCTTTCCACACATCTCCGTCATGTTTTCCGTGGCCTACCCCTGCCTTGTACTCCATGTGGGTTCCACTGCAGCGACTGTCTTATGATGTTTCCGCTGGGCTTTCTGGGGATGTGTCCCATCCATCGTCACTTTCTTAGTCCTATTTCTACTTCTATATCCATTTATCCTGTCCTTTCCCACAGTTTTTCATTTCTTTTTCTATCCTGCCACGTAATTATTAGGATACTCTTCAAAAAGACGAATCTTGGTGTGCAGTGGGATGGTGCTTGCTTTCCAGACTTTTGATATTTGATTGAATGCTGACCTTGCCATGGCGGTGCTTGCTCCCACATCTGCCTCAGTTTCACCTTTACCATCGATGACACTTCCAAGATAGGTACATTAGGCGTCCACTTCTTCCAGGGGAGTGTCTCCCACTGTCACAGTAGAGCTTGAAACTTTTCCTAGCTTCTCTACGTTCGACTTTCCCTGATGATACGTAGGCCAACACTCCTTGATAGGCTGTTGAGCTCCTTGGTCTTTTCTTGCACCTGGGCATGTATGCAAGAGAGCAGTGCAAGGTCGTCGGCAAAGTCCAAGTCGTCCAGCCGCTGCCAAGAGGTCAACTGTATTCCATTGCGCTTGCCTCTGGTGACTTCTTTTATGACCCAATCAATTCCCAGTATGAAGAGAAAAGGTGAGAGTAAGCATCCTTGTCTCACTCCTGTCTGTACCTGGAGGAGTTCTGAGAGTTGTCCTTCATGGAAGACTTGGCAGTTTGTTCCATCATAGGTGCCCTTCACAAGCTTGACGATTTTGTCAAGTATTTCATAATGCCGCATGAGCTTCCACGGAGTTTCCCTGTCCAAGCTGTCAAATGCTTTTTCATAATCAATGAAGTTGACCAACGATCTGGTCCACACACAATAGGTTCTTGGGGAATTCTGCCTCGTTTCCTCGGAGCTTCTCATCTGTTGTCAATTTGATTCTTTCCTGCAGTATCTTGTTAAAGACTTTGTCAGGTATGGACAGGAGTGTTGTGCCTCTGTTGCTCTTACAATTATTGAGGTCTCCCTTCTTTGGCAGCTTGATTAGGTTGCCTTCCTTCCAGTCTGGTGGTATTTCCTTTTCTTGCCGAACCTTTTCAAATAGAGTATAGAGAATTCCCACTGATGTATCTTTATCTGCCTTAAGGGCTTCTGCTGGTATATGGTCGGGACCAGCTGCCTTGTGGGACTTCAGTAATGTTACAGCTGCAACAATTTCCTGTCTCGAAGATGCTTCCGTAACTATTGGGAGGTCGTTTCTGGCTGGAAGAATTTCTGTTTGCTTTTCTGTAGGTGGTCTGTTCAAGAGTTGGTCTGTTCAAGAGTTGATCAAAGTGTTCTTTCCATCGGTTAAGTTGCCACTCTGGGTCAAAGATAGTCTTTCCCTCTTTGTCTTTCACTGGTATAGTGGGCTTGCTGAACTTACTTGAAAGAGCTTTTGTTGTCTTGTGTACAATCCGAGAGTGTCCGTCTGTTGCTGCTTTCTCTGCCTTTTCGGTTAGGCCATTCAGGTAGGTACTCCTGTCCTTCTTGATGGAATTCTTTACATCCCGATTTACTTCGGTGTACTCTTTTTGTACTAGTTTCTCAGTCCGGGTACAACTATTGTTGACTTGAGCATTCTGGTGTCTTCTACTTTTGACTTTGTCTAAGAGAGCCCCGTGAAATCCACTCCTTCCTGACGTTGACTTTGGGTGCTAGGGTGCTCTATCAAATCGCATTGACTGTCTCTTTTATCTAGTCCCAGTGTTCGTTTACTCCACATTCATCCAAATCTTGAAGGGCTTGAAATCTGTTCATCAGTTCCAACTTGAATTCATTCATTTTAATGGGTCTTTCAGAAGGCTGTCTTCATCCTTTTGACGACTTCCAGTTGTGGTTTGTGCACACCTTCTCAGACTCAGCTTCATCTTTCCATGGATCAAATTGTGGTCTGATGCGACGTCTGCTCCTCGTAGGACTCGGACATCCTCCAGTGAGCGTCTAAACTTTCGTGAAATGCAAAAAATGGTCAATCTGATTTTCCGTTGTTCTATCCGGGAGACCCAAGTGGCCTTGTGAATCCTTTTATGTGGGAAGATTGTTCCTCCGATAACCAAGTTGTTGAATGCAGTGAAGTTCTGGAATTTCTCTCTGTTGTCATTTGTCTCTCGTAATCCATGTCTACCCATGATTTCCTCACAGTGACTATTGTCCGAACCTACCTTTGCATTTAGGTCTCCCATAACAATGTCGATGTCCTTACCTAGAAGTTTGTCGATCACACTCTGCAGGCGGTTGTAGAAAACGTCTTTATTCTCCTTTTCCGCATCATTGGTTGGGGCCTACACTTGTATGATGTTCATGTTTATGACCTTCTTGCTACCATCTCTTACCTTGAGTTCTTTCTTAGTTGCAAATGAGGCCATGATGATCCTTGAACCGTGGGCTTCCGAGCCGCTGAATGTCTTTTGAGCTATTTTGGATATGATCATCCCTTCTCCTTCTCTGCGTGGTCCATCACTGTCATTTCCTGAATAAAAGAAAAGCTCCCCCTTTTTTATTCGCTTCGGTCCAGACTGGTTCAAGTGGGTCTCACTGATTCCCAGTATGTGTAGGTGGTATCGGTGAATCTCTTGGAGGACCTGTGCAGCTTTTCTAGCCTTATAAAGGATCCTAACGTTCCACGATCCAATCCGGAGAGACTTTGACTTGGATTATTGTGGATGCTTCTGCCCAGCAGCTTCCTTTTGGCTTTCACTGCCATGAATAATAAACTTTCTATTCGGAGAAGTTCCACGACCAGCCAAGCAGAGATTCTGGATTTTCCTCTTATGTGTTTCTGCAGCTGGTTCTTTTTACGAGAGATGTTGTTAGCCTCGTGACGGCTCTGTTTCGGGAGTCACTACCTGGTACGCCATTTAGTCGTCTCGTACGACAAGCAAGCACCGTGACAGCCCGATTCTTCTTAAAGCCGAGACTGCACTGCTGGGGTTATTGGTACCGTCATAAAGCTGGTTCATTTATCTTGCATTTGATAAATAATATACCCACCTATCTTGAATTGAAATCGAGATGTTTGCGATTGATGGAGGTGGGGTTGCTTTGTTTCAGAGGTAAAATTAGCGAGAAATGGCAGCCAAATGTGGTTATTCCCATTGCTTGAGAGTACTTGGAATTTTTTGGTAAGCATTTAAACAACGATTTTCAGTCAAATTTACACATACATGTATTTTAGGTGGCCTTTGAAGGTATTTAGCCCCAAAAAAATTGATAAGAAAAAAAACTGGTAGTAAAATGCCGGGTTTTTTTCGATTTGCTTTATTTTGACGGGCGCTTGATTTCAACACTCCCACAAATGTATTCTAAAAAGTGATTACTAGTCACAAAATCTCTTTCTGTGGTGACAAAAACAGACTGCACGGCACCCATGTGCAACATATCAAGTATGTGGATAAGATACTATCAGAAAAACACTTTTTCCGCGCGTGGTCACTTTGTGGGAAATCATTTATTGAGAAAAACGAAGAAAACTACACGTTTATTTCTGTCATAGTTCAAAAATTGCTGTTTGATGTTTGTTGTAGTAAAAGTTATGTGGCATCTGCAACACAAGGGCCTGGAATAGTGTTTTCATAACAAATAGTTGAATATATTTTTTTTAAACAATGTGTCGATTTCGACAATAGAAATCAATCGTCTTATCTTACCGTGTAAATTATGTATCAGAGAACTACTGTGAGGCGGGTGATGGTGTTGATCTACTTCTAATCAAGACCAAAACAATGACTTTGCCTTTGCTGATGATGACCATTTCGGTACGGTAGTATTGTTTCTTCTGCCTTCGTTGCCGCCATTGTCGTTAGAGATGACGATGATGATCACGACGGCAGAGACCACCACCACCAACACAATGACGATGATGATGATGATGATGATGATGATGATGATGATGATGATGATGATGATGATGATGATGATGATGAGGATGAGAAGGAGGAGGAGGAGGAGGAGGAGGAGAAGGAGGAAGAGGGGGGAGGTTGAAGAGGGAGGGGAGGAGGAGGAGGAGGAGGACTTTGTATTTTCCTCTAATCCATGATTTCTACTTACTCATTCTGCTTGCAGGGATACCAAACACATTCTTGACCCTCTACAAGTTCCACACACGGCAGATCACATCTATCCTTCTTGCACGAAGGACTCTCTGCCCCAGGACACAAACATAGCGTGCACTTGGCATTTTGGTATTTCTTCTCAGAGTCTGACAGCTGACATAGGGCACGTACGGAGTTGGTCTCCCAGCTGTGGCATTTGCCTGTTCGCGCAATCCCCTTGTTCACGAATATGCATTTATGGTCAAATGTTGACTTTGGTTCCGCATGTCCCCACGGCAATGCTTTCGTAAATGACATATGTTTATCTGCGTACCAGCGGAGAATGTTGTTGTTCCCGAAGGCTCTGCCACCTATTATGAACGTGTCAGATATATTTTTCATCCAGCTCATTCGATCTTTTGGTTTCATTGACCCTCCACTGAACACCGCCATGTTGCCTCCTAGCTCAGTGCACCGTTCATGGGCGTTCCAAAAGGAAGTGACGTAGCCAGCCTTTACAAAGAAGACCCGCCTCTCTAATTGGCTGCATTCTCTGGACCAGGAAGCAGGGATTGATAGCGAGGCGAGGGTAGTAGCAACAGTAAGGAATACCTCAGCCATATCTCATGAAGCCGTCAAAGATATCGAGCAGTAACGATTCAAGAAACAAATTCAGTAATGTTTCTCAACTGTTGCTCTGGGATAACACCTTGAAAGCTGTTTAAATGAGACTCTTCTGGCCCTGTCAGTTCTGGGTGTCTGTAAAGGCAAAAGCGTTAACATTTTAAGTCTTTTTTCTAAGTTCTAGGTGTCTGTGAAGGCAACAGCGATAACATTGTCTTTTTTTGGGGGGGGGGATAGTTTTGGTAAGAGTTTTAAGGCACATGCAACACACATTGGTCATATCAGTATATAGGTTGGATAGAAAAGAAGGGGCGAACCACATCAGAGTAGCCGCTAACCACCCACTTGCTCTCTGTTCGGCACATTGTGCATTTCATCGGAAGGTTAAAAATAGATAAATGCAATTGTTTAAGATTAAGGACCTGTTCAACACTGTTGAATCTCATTTCAATCTCCTAAGAGGGGCATCTTGTTGGTGATTTGAACCACAGTCAATTGCATCATAGCTGAGAAAAAAAAACGCCAACTGAGCTTTTGTTTTGTTTCTTTGTTTGTGTTGTTAGTAAAGAGAAGCAAGTCAATACACCAACGATGATTTAGATGAGGGGAATAACAAAACAGGCAAATAGACACAACAGACCGAACGTTAAGAAACAGTACCTACCAGTAGTACCAGAGGTGCTTTTCAATCACCCGCAACCAGCCCTACCTATGATTGTGCTATAGAACCAACCTATTATTTCTCCATGTTATTTTTGCATAAGTTTAATGCACCACATGACGCTCGTGGGCAGTTTGAAAACTAAAGCAATTGGTGCACAATAGTAAAAGTAATTGTCTAGTGACCTGGGGAAATTAGGCGCTCTTTAAAAAAATAGAATTGATAGAACCGACATTTTTCCGCCTGTAAGTTGTAAGTACATAATTTTTTTCAGTTTGACATTTTCATGTCCATTTAAAAACATGTGTTGAGTTTATCTTTATGAAAACCGTTGACAAAAGGCACAAAAGTGCAAATTTGCCGCTTCAAAGGACAATCAAGCCTGGCAGCCATTTTCTCACAAATTTTACATTTGACACCAAGTCACCCCCATCTCCATCTATCACAAAAATCTCGACTTAAGAGTAAGATGGGTTGTTTCTTTTTACCAAAACAAATTTTAAAAATAACTTTAGATGTCCAAAAATTGATGAGCACATGATTCTACCGTGTATGTTGGAAGGAAAAAAGGCAGTGAGAAGTGAGAACACCTCATTTGCAGAGATTAATTACCCTATCATGAAAGAAGAAGTTATCAAGGCACTACGAAAGATGAAGAATGGGAAAGCTGCAGGACCGGACAACATTACCACAGAGATGATTAAAGTTTTAGAAGACTTTGGAATCTCCACACTGACAAAACTTCTTAACAACATGTATGACCCTAGACATATTCCATCAGGCTTGTCAAAATCTATTTTCATAGCTTTACCAAAGAAACCTAATGCAAACGAATGTGAAACTCATCGTACCATCAGCCTCATCAGCCACATAACGAAAATACTACTCAGAATAATTATGATGAGAATACGAAATAATATTCTCCCAGAAATAGTCCAAGAACAGTGTGGATTTATTGAAGGCAAAGGCACTGTAAATGCCATATATGTCATCAGAACAACAATAGAACGTGCCCTAGAAGTTCAGAAAGATTTTCATTTATGTTTTTTAGACTACACCAAGGCATTTGACAAAGTTAGGCACGACGAGATCATGGAAAAGCTGGAAGTCCTCAATATTGACGGGAAGGACTTTAGGATTATCAAGAACATGTACTGGGATCAAACTGTTGCATCAGCGAATACGTACAGATTAAAAGAGGAGTCAGACAAGGATGTGTACTTTCTCCCTGTATAGTGAAAATATCATGAGACACATAGAAGAAATGCCAGGTATCTCGATAGGGGGACACAATATAAACAATCTAAGTTATGCAGACGATACAGTCCTAATAGCAGAAGATGAAGAACACCTACAGAATCTATTAAATGGCATCGTACAAGAGAGTGACAACATGGGCTTAAGCTTAAACATCAAGAAAAACGAAGCCATGGTGATAAGCAGAAAAATTCCAACCCCAACATACAATGTCAAAATCAATGATACTACCCTCAAGCAAGTAAAACATTTTAAATATTTGAGGACCATTATATCATCGGATGGGAGATGTCAAACCGAAATTAAAAGCTGCATTTGCCAAGCAAAAGCAACCTTCCACAGAATGAAACAGACACTAACAAAATAAATCTGTCACTGGAAACGAGAAAATGAGTACTGAAAAGTAATATCGAGCCAATCCTAAGATACGGGTGCGAAGCATGGACAATCAATAAACAGCTGGAAAGAACAATTGTGGCGACAGAGTTGCGGTTCATAAGACGCATGCTACGTATCCCATGGACAGCTAGAAAAACAAATGAAGAAGTCTTGGTTGAAGCAAATTACAGAAGATAGCTTGTGACGAATATAAGGACTTCCGTAACGAGCGACCATTCCAGCCTACGCAATAAAGAAGGGACTTTTGAGTGGGATGTGTAAAAGATAGAGTTTAGTATTTGGTTGGGCAATAAAGAAAGTAAAGAGAGTTTGTGTTATATTGTATTCTTCTTGCCTTCCTTTATATCATTAGTGATATGATAACATCTGAAAGCATACACAATAATATGACATGATTAGAAAATTCAGTGGCGTGACCGTGATTCGAACCTGTGAGTGAGAGAAGCAAACTTGATTAGTAGTCCAGCAGCATAACCACTATGCCAAACAGCTGGTGTTACCAATGAGTAAAAACAAAAGTTCTTATAAACCTACTTGAGTTAAGTGGGAGTGTATCACCTTTTAAAATTCCCAAAACGTAATTATTTTTTACATTGAAGGGTTTTGACAAGGTTCCTTCGCAAAATTAGGCAAGCTGATGCGATCGGCTTCAAAACAAAAAAAAGAAAGAAAAAAAAGTAAATTTCTGAGTCGACTCTACCTCATTTGCATATAAAAAACGACTTCCGGCTTTTTTAGTTGCCATCGTGGACAAGTGCGGCTTTCTCCGTACCGGTGTACTTGTATTTCGTGCTTTTCGTACGCCCGTGTCGCGGTAAGGGATGAATCGAAAAATTATACAAATAACGATTTCATTTCGCACGTGTTTTGAACGGAAGAAGAAAATGAAAAGAAAAAAAACCTAACCCTAAAACTTACCTTAATCAAGTAGGCAAGAAGTGCTGCTTCTGATCAGGGGGGGGGGGAACCCCCCCCACCAATTACCCTATGAGAAAAGAAAACCTACCCTCTGCAACGAGCCACCACCTCAATAAATATAATAAAGAAGAGTCCTAACCCGTACCCTGACCCAACCCCTAACCCTATCCCTACCCCCACCTTCACCCCCCCTCAACAAACACCTACCCATACCCCTACCCCTAACCCTCAACAAACACAAGCCTACCTCCACCCCTACCCCAACACTAACCCCAACCCCTAGTTCCTACCCCTACCCCTACCCCAACCCTACCCTTCCTAATAATCCTCAACAAACAAAATAAAGGAGAGACCTACCCCTACCCCAAACCCTACCCCAAACCCTAACCCCACCCCTACCATCCTAACCCTAACTCTACCGCAAACCCTACACCTACCCCAAACCCCAACCCTTCACAACCTCAATAAAGAAGAGGCCTAACCTTAAGCCTACTCCATCCCACCCCCACCTATAACCCTCAACAAACAAAACAAAAAAGACCTATCATTACCCCTACCCCTAATCATGCCCCTCCTACCTCCACCCCGATTAGATTAGATCTACACACGCCAAGAGCTCTGAGACTTTTTTTTCTCCAAATTAACACAATAACTTTACAACTGTCGTCATCGATAAATCTAATATCTAATTGATTTGCACTTACCCACTCTTGCTCTTGTTTGTGTAAGCTTAGAAAAAGAATGAAAACATCGAAGACCCCGCTGGTACTTGTTCCAGAAAGCAAATTTTGTAAATGGACAGCCGCAATTAGCACATTATGATAAGCGCTCTTTTTACTGACAAAATAAATGCAAAAGGAAGGGTTTCTTCGTCATCAAGAATAAGTTGAAAAATTGAACTTCCGTACTTTCTGACCTCAAAAAATAGATTCTCACCGCACCACAACGGTGCGGCTTTTTGCACACCATTCCGAAATGACGCGTAGAGGTGCGTTTTCGTCGTTTCGCAGGCTCCAATGAACCTGGTGGTTTTTAAAAGTCCATCTGCTTAGGAGGTTCCTTTCCGTGGTGTCGGTGGCGTAGTGGTTAGGCTGACGATATTGCAACAATAGGGTTGTGAGTTTGTACCACACAAGGGGCCCGACGTTGTATCCTTGGGAAAAACACTATACAAAAACTTTTCTTTCGAGAATTTGTCTTGCTTCACCCAGGCCAGAAAGGGTACCCAGCTATAGACAGCGAAAGATCATTTCAGTTTGTAAGTATGTAAGAGCTGAATCAGCTGCCTGCACGGTTTGTTTCCTGGGCAGGTAGTCGTGTTTCTGAATGCTCTAAGGTCTACTGGGGTAATGATGTATTGTAAAAGGTATAAAGATTACTGACGAGCGGGGATAAGTGCTATAAGTGGCGTCGGTGGCCTAGTGGTTAGGCTCTCGGACTCGCACCCGTAAGGTCGTGGGTTCGAATCCCGTCAGGGGCCCGACGTTGTGTCCTTGGGAAAGGCACTTTAAACGAATTTTCCTCACTTCACCCAGGTGGGAATGGGTACCCGGCTATAGACAGCGAAAGATCTTGTCAGTTTGTAAGTGTTTGAGCGCTTAATCAGCTGCTTGCACTGTATGCTTCACGGGAAGCTGAGAACATTTCGAGTGTTCTATGGTCTGCTGGGGTAATAATATAGTGTAAAGCGCATAGAGCCGGCTGTTGAGCTGGGATATGCGCTATACAAATGCTATCTGTTATTATTATTATTATTATTATTATTATTATTATTATTATTATTATTATTATTATTATTATACAAACGATATTATTATTATTATTATTATTATTATTATTATTATTACTATTATTATTTTCATTATCATTATTATATTATTATCATTATTATTTTCATCATTATCATTATTATTATTATCATTATTATTATTAGTATTATTATTATTATTGTTGTTGTTGTTGTTGTTGTTGTTATTATTATTATTATTATTATTGTTGTGGTTGTTGTTGTTGTTGTTGTTTTTTGTTTTTATTAGTATTATTAGTATTATTATCATTATTATTATTATTATCTTTATTATTATTGTTGTTGTTGTTATGAAATCACCTCAATAAGTTTGTTTGTTTTAAGTGGGTTGTTTAGACAGATTGTGATTTAAATACGAGTTTGTAATTTCACTTTCCAACAAATTCCCAAAACTTTTCTACCCGCACTGAATGTTGTAAAGTTTATTATTCTTATCCATCACCTCCATGTCAAAGATATAACTTTTCCGATCCATGCTGCCATCGTAAGGGAAAACGACGAATGGTCCTGCGCAGGTAACGATCCGAGGCAAATTTTTCAGGAGAGACAAAAACAGTTTTCACTTTATAACTCTTCTATTTTTCACTCCTTTAAGCTGTAATTCACCAGATATCTGATTGAGGAGTTCATAAAGCAGTTTCTAAAGTTTGAATGGTTTAGGTTAAAAAGTAGCGAAGTTATTCGACATTCGTCGTTCTCCCTTACACTGCGCGCCCGCGGGTGAGCCTTGCGATGTAAGCGAAAACGACGAATGGTACGGTTCGTCGTTCTCCTTTACACTTGTGAACGTTTATGGGAATAGGCGATGGTCAGTTGTGACGCGTTATTGACAGTAATCACTGTGTACTGGTTACTACAAATAAAAATAAGACGTATACAAACTAGCTATTATACGTATAAAGTTAGGTGTTTGTCATATCCCAATTGTAACTCGGTAAACGTCCTTCGTTTCCCTTCCTCGCTTGGCTAAATACTACACAGTCAGTGGACAAATTAGATGAGCACACATTTTCAACAGCTTGATTTAAAACTGTCTCATTCGGAGAAAAAAATTCTCTTCAGAAGCGAGTTTTACTTTTATTTTCGCTAATTGCAAAATTTTCTCTGCACGACCAAAGGGATCAACAATGTTACAATGTCAACAATACGATCAGATTATTGCAAAGTCAAACTTTCACGTAAGAAATGTAACAATCTGACAAGACAAGACTGTATCGCAAACGCTTTCGGGAGAGGTAATGCGACGCTTTGTATTTAATAAAGGATTCAGTTGATCGGATCGGAAAACATACCACAAAGATGAGATCTACAAGGACAGTTTGAATCTGCAAGACATTATTATATTCGATCGTAACGTCCATCAAGTCATTAAAAAATCTTAAAGCAAGACTAAGTGTCGCCACAATGCGTCCACTTTTTAAGTTTGACAAAGAAATTTACTCTCATAACCCAGTGTCATTAATTGCTTGCTAATTCTATAGTGATGTCGACCAGTGACACGCGCTAGACCAATTGCGGCACTATAACCATCGTTGGGATTTGGGATGTCAAATGACTGGACAGCAAACTATCATGACGTTAGTCTGTGAACATCTGGAGGACACTAATATGTAGTGCTAATAAATTTCATTCTAAATACTTTTTGACCCTCCCATCCCCACCCCTTCCCCTCTGTTCCCATCCGTTTTCCCCTCTCTCCCACCTGCTCTTGTCAATTCACACCATCACCATGCATAGGCCTAATACGTGAAGAGAAAGACACACTAAGTGATACATTCTTATAAACCTGGTCGAAGGTACTCTGGGGGAGGTGGTGGTGGTGTATTTGTTTGCAAAAAAAAACTAGTATGTTTGTACAGACGCAACAGTGACCAATTGTCATTCGTCGCCCATGCCGAATTTGCCCAACAGCAGAGACCAGGGGACAACGCCGAACCATTCGTCGTTCTCCCTTACACTGAGCTCTGGCTCGGAGCTCGCCAGCGTAAGGGAAAACGACGAACTCTCAATTACGCAACAACGGATTGGGATATGACAAAAAATGTTACACCATCAGATGCAGAATTAAATACTCTATGAAGTATATTTTAAAAAATTTTTAATAAAAATTTTGACCTTTCGTCGTTTTCCCTTACGACGGCAGCATGACATCCATGTCTGAAAGGTAGTGCTGTTCTCGTCCGTCACATCAAACTGTGGAACACACCCTTCAGCACTCCGAGACACATTGGGCCCTGAGAAAGGAAACGTGGCCAACCCCTTTGACACTACAAGAGAAGCTATACGGGCCGACTGATGAACTGAGCAGGACGGCCCAATATATTATGACAGATACCGGACTTCAAGTGTGATGTGATCGAGAAGAAGAAGAAGAAGGTCCATTACATCCATGTCTGAGACATAATTATTCTCATCCATCACATTCATGTTTTAGTCATAATTAATCTTATCCCTGTCCTAACCATAAATTGAATATTCATATCCATAACATATAAAATCAGTCCATAATATGACCACTGCACGCCTCCCACAGTTCAAATCGTGAGGCTTCCGGTTTAAAATCTGCTGTTAAGCTTTTTAAAAACAAAAACTTCATATTTTGTGTTACAATAAAAGTTGCTCTCTCAAATCCTGTAAGGGCTTGTTTTGCATAGGAACACGAAAACAACACCTAAAAGGATATAAAATTCAAAAGAAGCGTATGAAAATTTTGTTCCAAGAAATGGCTGTTTCTAATTAATCTAAATAAACTAGAGGCAACAAAGTTATGTTTTAGGAGCCTTTTCATAACTGTAAGAAAAGAGAATGCATCAAATCTATTATCTATTTGTGGTGGCCGAATTTTGCTATTCAAAAGGCTTTTTATTGGCTGCATCGATCGACATGCGGTTTTCGCCTAAAGATTCTTTGAAATATTCTCCAGAGCAAGGCGCCCTTGGGGTTTTTTTTCAGTTTTGAGACAGTTTTGCTGCAGAATGCTAAAAAAATTTAATTTCGCCGATCGCTTTTGTAGGCCGACGCTTCTATCTCTGTAATTTTAGAAAATCCGGAAGTGATATTTCGCGAGGCGCATTTTGTTTTGCGAGTATAGATCTAGATCTTATAATTTTTTGCATCTCTCAAAATGTATTGTCCCGTTCCAGTAGAGTACTTTTAGTTGATATTAAAGCACCGATCATTCTTTTCATCGAAAGGGGGGGGGGGGGGGGCCAGCTAGTAATTTATAAGAAAAGCTTACCTTTTCCGACTTCTTCCGAACATCTTGCTCTCACTAGGGAAAGAGTCAGAGATTTACTGAAGAAACTGTACGTAAAGAACTTGAACAGATGGGTGATGGGCAAAAGCAGTATACTAAAGCATTCATTTTTTAGAGCTTGTTAGCGGAAAAGTGAGTCTCCTGCCGCGATCACAGATTTCTCTTATGTACATGAATAGATACAAACTTGTATCCATACATTCATGTCTACATAGAGTAATATGTAGTATATAATATGAATACAGCCCAATATATGACATATACTGGACTTCAAGTGTGATGCGATAAAGAAGAAGAAGAAGATCGATCACATCCATGCCTACATACGTAGAATGAAATTTTATCATACTCACCATGTACACAATACAACATTTATACACACAATGCAATTTTACAAATCCGCTCCTGCTTTCACCATCAAGTATTCCCCTTTTTGGAGCTTATTTTAATTATAGTAAAAGTTTTACAGCACTTGCCCCACTATTAGATCATATAAGTGCTGAAGATTATAAAGGTGTTACAAGGGAGATACAAACACAAAAAAGAAGGAGGAGAGATAAGGACAAGAGATGTTTGATAAGAAGAAAGTTGCAAACCACTCCAAGGCGCGCAGCAACCAACCACATTTTTTAGCTGCGGTTGTCGTGTCTTCTTCAAGGACACACCCCACTGACCTTAAGCGTGGTATAATGTAAAAATAAGATACCATCATTTGTAGGATGTTTAGTAACTCTCGATCGTATTCTTCTTGTGTTTCTCTCCCCCATCCTTATACGTGATGGATCACAGCTCCCGGGACATCAATCGACAGGCCCTCAGGGGACACTGGACCACCGATAGATAGATAGATAGATAGATAGATAGATAGATAGATAGATAGATAGATAGATAGATAGATAGATAGATAGATAGATAGATAGATAGATAGATAGATAGATAGATAGATAGATAGATAGATAGATAGATAGAAAAAAGAGAGAGAGAGAGAGAGAGAGAGAGAGAGAGAGATAGAGAGAGAGAGATAACGAGTGCGTGTTCGTGTATGGATTTACCTAATCGCAGGAAATATCTCTTTGAGGAAATCAATAAAACATTCCTGTACTATGAGCCGTCAGTTTCAACCAAATGTCTTCACGAGTGTGTTTTCGGTAAAAGTTCATTTCAGACCCCAGTTTTTTAAATAGCTACTCATTCAAAAACTAGGCTACTTTTTAAATTCCATCTCACATGGCGTCATAAAACCAACATTCTGACCCCACAGAGAGTGGAGTTCTCTGATGTGTGTAGCAGGTCAAGTTAGTTCCGTATCGAGAGTTCAGCTGGATTTTACTGTCTTTTGTGTTTTTTTCCCTCTCTTTTTTTACGCACTGTATAGTGCACTCTAAGAGCACTGTAACAACAGATCATGGAAGGCTTGTTGTTTCATAATCAATACTCAACAGATCTCGATATCTATCCTATGAAATGATGACGTTAACTATGAGAATAAAAGCAATCCAAAGATCTAGGCCTATAATATTAGGGCCTAGTCCTATATTGCGTTCTACGACACCGAAAAAACATATTGCGTCTCCAAGAACAATAATAAAAGTAAGCCTAGGTCAAGGACACTATTTCGATAATTCAACTTCCGGATTTGATTGCTCGAAATGTTCACGGTCAAAGCAATTTAGAGCTCCTAAGAATATTACAGTAATCACAGCCTTTGAAATTCAATTTGCAAAATTCTCAACAGGGGATATCAACTTTTTTGTCCTTTTCGGTTTAGCGCCACCTTGACCCCAGAAGGAAAATACCATAGATCAATTGTGAATAGTAAGTGTCGTTGCATAACTTCTCTTTCTTTCTTAGTTCTTGAATAAAATTATAAACGAAAAATGCTTTGTTATGTCGGCATGCTGTTCATTAACAACAGTTTTGCATTTTTGATTTAGTTACACTTTCTGACATTCGGAGGAGAGGGGGTGGAGTGGATAATCGAGAATTAATCAATTCTAACTTGGTAGGTGAGAGGGCTCTTGCTGTTACAATCTCTGCGCATTTTTACTAGACTAATCAAACTTCTTGTAATAGGGTGCACTATGCCTATAGGATTTGTTATATGTAATATCCTTGACTGTTCTGTCTGAATATAATTCTGGTTCTACAGTACAACATCCAAGGACTTCGAATCGACCTGGGGGCTGTACGCACTTTTCAAGTGGAGAGCCTTCAGGCTGAGGCAAACATACCATCCTTCAACTCAGACGCACGCAACTCTCACTACAATACGTAGTTAAACAGAGCTCAAAACGAAAGAATCCAGCACACGACTGCATCTTCAGAACAGACCCAGACACCATAAACAAATTCAAAAACAACAAAAAAACTCATAAACCTTTCGGCCTCAGAGTCCTTGAAGACCTCAAAAACATACACTTTTCCTAACAAGACATCGTACAATTTCTTTTCCCCGACCTCCCTCCGTGGCACCTCACCAAGTAGACTTACAGCTCACCGCACAAAACAAATCAAGCATAAAAAAACATGTACATAAAAAAGCAGAATACAAAACAAGTATTGAAAAATACCCAGGTGGGAGGCTAATCTTCACAGATGGCTCTAAATCGGACTCAGCTGTGGGCGCGCCTCCCTGTCTTCTGACAGCACACGCTAGAGGAGACTCCATCCCAAAGCCTCTACTTTCTCTGCTGTGGTCACTGCCATTGACTGACTTGGCATTGGACTCCGTCGAAAATTCTCCTAACAAATCTTTCTTTATCCTTTCTGACTCTCTGTCTTGCATTACCTCACTTACAAACTAGACACTCTTACACCCAAAAATAGTTAGTTACAACAACAAAAATACACGCTTTGACTGAAATCGGGAAAAACATCGTGTTTGCATGGTAGCCGACAGAAGGGACAAGGATTCCTTTGTCAGGAGATGCACCTGCTCGTTTCCTCGGATGCCTACCCGGCTTGAGAGCCATGCGAGTACTATATGTTTCCCTGTTCCAATAAAGTATTAATTAAAGTGTGTATTTTACGTTGTAACTCGATTGTTTTTGGATGCATTGGTGGGTTATTTGTGAGTGAGGGGGTGCAAAATAAGTAGTCAAACATAAGGAAATATGTTTAAGGAGAGTTATCCGCGGAGTCAAATGCCATGTCAATGACAGTGGGCATCAGAGGAAAGAAACAGGTGATTCTTCTAACAAAGGAATCCTTGTCCCTTTTGTTGGGATCAACGACAAACACTCTCCCACAGACTGACTTTAAAAATAAAGTCGAAAACTACACCTACAGTCTGTGGGAGACACCTTGGGGCAAACAAATTAACAACAAACTCCACAACATCATGCCCAAACTGGGTCCACGAAAACCTTTGGGCCTCTCCAGAAAATACGAAGTCATTTTTACTCTATTACGCATCGGACACACTTCCCTGACATACAAATAGATTTTCCTCCTTCAGGGAGATGAAAAATCGTTTTGTGTCGGATGCGACACAGATTTTACCATTAGACACATCTTAACAAAATGTTCAGACTTAGGAGAGACCCCAGGGAAGTATTTTAAAAATTTTTAAATGCAAGATCTGTTCTCTGTCGTTGATCCCTGTAGAATTCCTGATTTTTTAAAATCCATTGGCATTTACGATAACTTGTCAATAACGTTGTTAAAATTTTAGAAGTTATAAAAAAACAGGAAGTTCTTGTACCACGATATTTTTTACATTTTAACGTTTTAACAGAAATATTGGCAAAAATCAAACCGTCCAACGAACTATTGTGAATGCAACCAACCTGTTTCGTGCGCTCATATGAGCGTATGCAGTTTTGAGCGCCGTAAAACTCTTACTAAAGGAAAAACTTCCTCCACCACCAACCCCCCCCCCCCCATTTTTGCCCAAAACCCTCTCTCTTGAATAGTTACTGGCGTGTGTGGTGCAGCAGTTAGGCGTTTCACCGTTGCACACAGAAGACCCGGTATGGATTCCCGAGTGGGGAGAACTTTTATCGTTCCATCTGCTGGGAAGTTATATTCCTCTCAGCCCGGGTTGGCTTTGCAATCTGACAGTACAGGGATGGTTAAAGTCTACTTTCAAAATTTGAGCAAACTTGTGTCGATGAATGACGTAAAAACATTCACATAAATAATATGAATGATGTTAGTTCTGGCACCCTCGGTTCTGAATAAGAAAACACCATTAGCTCAGTTGATGACACGCTGAGCTGTGGTGCAACTGATCCTTGTTCCAGTACCCAAGGGGACGTTGTTAGGGGGGATTTTAAGGCTTTCCATCTACTTGGGTCTGTCCGATAGGCGATTCCCGGATTTTGAGATAACCTGATCGTGTTGAAACGGGTTCTAAACCAATACAGTAGTCAGCCGTGTGTCTCTGGAGAAATAGAAAATGACTTAGCAAGGCCGTAAACGTTGAACTCGATCAAAAAACGACATTTTTTCAAGTGTTATTCTCATCCACAGACACCTGAAAAGCAAGAAAGTAGATTCTCGTTCAACACAACGAAAAAGACTGAGTAAGTTACAGATTTTCTTTCTCGAAGCTCCACTGGTCGAAGTCTCTAACGGCTGCATGAGACATGGCTCGGGCGTTCCTAATGGTCGTCATTACCCTCGCCTCGCTATCAATTCCCCCTCTCTGGGCAAGAGAATGCAGGCAATCAGAAGGGCGGGTCTACTTCGCGAAGACTGGCTACGTCACTTCTTTTTGGGACGCCCATGACCGGTGCGTTGCGCTCGGAGGCCGACTTGCGGAGTTCAGCACTAGGTCAATGAATCCAAGTGTTAGAACCAGGTGGATGAAAAACATATCTGACACGTTCATTATAGGCGGCTTGGCTTTCGGGAAAAACAATGTCGCAGTCTGGTACTCAGGTGAAGAGTTGGTATTTCAGACGCGATTACAGTGGGGGCATGGAGAGCCGAGGATAATATCTGACCATAAATGCACATTCATGAGCAAGGGGCTGGCACGAACTGGCAAATGCCACAGCTGGGAGCCCAGCTCCGTACGAGCGCTGTGTGAACTGTCTCTGTTTGAGAGAGCATTCCGACATACCAAGTGCACGCTGTGTATGTGTCCTGGGCAAGAGATGCCGTTGTGTATGAATAAAAGATGTGATCTGCCATGTGTGAAACTCAGAGAGGACAAAGACTGCATGATGTATCCATGCAGGTACAAAGATCGGTGAGTAAAAGTCAACTTTCTAATGTTATTTTCGTAATAAGAGGATCATCATCATCATCTTCATCATCATCATCATCATCATCGTTGTTGTTGTACGCAGGATACGAAAAAACAAAATATTGATGGAGACTTGAGCATTGTATATGTTAGGATATAAAAAATAAATATTATTTTCATTGCTTCGCCTCAATAAGATTTTCCAGAATCGGGATGATAATAATCACCTCCTCCTGTCACACACGTGGGAGACCGAGGTTCGTTTCCTCGCATGTTTTGTTTTGACATTGAGAGAAGACTCAAAATAGAAAGAAAAAAGTAGACAGAGACACGGATGCTCAAAGACAATGGTGGATCAGAAAGACGGGAAGAAACATAATTTTTTTAAAGAATTTGACACAAAAGAGGGGGATTTTATACAGCCTGCAATCTCACGTTTCAAAAATCAAAACCTTTATTCGACGTCAGGACTTGTTTTGTTTGGTTTGTTTTTCTTTGGGGATTGTTGTTGTTTTTTAGGGAGGGGGCGGGTTGATTTTCGTTTTTGTTTTTGTGCTTTTTGGTTGGGTCGTTCCTTTTTCTTAGCTATGGATTTGATGTTGTTGGACAACTGCTTATGGTGCGTCGGGCAAAAAAAAATGGTCATTTCAGGTTGACGCTGCGGACTCTCGATGATTTGTGCATTCACATTCTTTTTACTTACATCCTTCTTTTTATTCTTTTTTTTTTTTCAGGTGGAATCCACCAAAATGTGAGAAAATCTGTAACTGTCCTTTAGGTTGTGACGCGATAACCGGACAATGTCAGGGTAACTGCGCTTTTGGCTGGAAAAACGGGCCAAATGGTCATTCCTGCAACCAGACAATTTACGCTCGCGGGTATTTCAGGTATACCGTCTTACACAAATTGATGTCGACGGGTTGCGTGTGTCGAGGGGACACTTGGTGCGACAGATGGGGAGGGTGTTGGTCTTGCTGGCCCGGGGCTGGGGGTCGGTTCTGCGCGGAAAGCGACTGTCCGGTCCGACGGTACGGCAGAGACTGTGAGAAGACGTGCCACTGTGCAGATCCCGTGAAGTGCGCCCAGGAGCAAGGCCACTGTCTGCAGATGCCGTTCAAGGGATGTTCGGGTAAGGGCTTTGCTTGAGGTAGGCGTGTTGTCTGTCGTTGTTGTTTTATTTGTCGAAACTGTCGGTGGTGTTGACTGGTAGTTTTGTTGCTGTTTTTTGTTGTTGTTGTTGTTGGTGGTGGTGGTGGTGGTGGTGTTATTGTTCTTGTCGTTATCAGTTTTTTTGCTGCAGTCGTAGCTGGTGATGTTGTTGCTGAGGTTTTTTGGTGTAAATATCATTGTTATTGTTTTTGTTGGCATGCCTTTAGTATTATTTTTTTATAATGCTTGTTGTAGATTTGCTTATGTGATTACTGTTGCTGTTGGTAGTGGTAGTGGTGGTGGTACTGTTGGTGATACTGGTGTTGGTGCTGCTGCTACTATTTATTTTATTTTAAATGTCTGCAGATGCCTTTCAGGAGATATTCAGGTAAGTCCTTTTCTTGAGGTAGGCAGTGTTGTCTGTCGTTGTTGTTCTGTGTGTTGAAACTGTTGGTGGTGTTGACCGAGGACGTGTTTTATTGTTTCAGGTTGTTGGGGGTTTTTTAAGTAACTCTTGTCGAGGTGTCCTGCTGTAAAATTTGATTTGGATTCACTCCTTTTTTCTTGTTGATCTCGTGCGGCTTTCTTCTTCTCTCTTATCAAACATATAACGAAGGTGACTCTGACAGATAGGTTCAGTGCCTCTTTGAAAATTGGTCTTAGGCCTAATTGTGTCGACGGGGCCGTAGAAAAACCTGCAGCAGAGAAAAGAACAATGAGCCACAAGAATCATAGCAACAAAAGCAATTACCTCACTAGACTAGCAATAACAGCAACTTCGAAGACGTCAAAAGCAAGTTCACCAGCAACTGCTTCAAGGACTAAGTCTAAGAAATAGCAAGAAAATGGCAGTGTTTTTTCTTTAAATGTCATTGTTGAGATTCACCTTACACGTTTAATAGGCTAAACATTCCATTTATTCCTGAAGATAGCCCCCACAAACAATCATGGCGTCGGTGGCCTAGTGGTTAGGCTCTCGGAATCGCAACCGTAAGGTCGTGGGTTCGAATCCCGTCAGGGGCCCGTCGTTGTGTCCTTGGGAAAGGCACTTTACACGAATTTTCCTCACTTCACCCAGGTGGGAATGGGTACCCGGCTATAGACAGCGAAAGATCTTGTCAGTTTGTTAGTGTTTGAGCGCTTAATCGGCTGCTTGCACTGTATGCTTCCCGGGAAGCTGAGAATGTTTCGGAATGTTCTATGGTCTGCTGGGGTAATAATATAGTGTAAAGCGCATAGAGCCTGCTGTTGAGCGGGGATATGCGCTATACAAATGCTATTTATTATTATTTTTTTTGACATTGCTGCGTGATTACATGCACGCCTTCCCTGAAAAATATTACGTTGACCGACCGAAATCAATGTCTCATGTCCTTTACAAGTTTTGTGCAAAGAGGAGTGACAGTAATGTCCCCCCGTAAACGAACGGGGGCTACGCATGCCCACTCTGGGACGCTGAACCTCAAGGGCAAGACATGCGCAGTTCATCAGACGGGAGAATACTTTTCGAGACTTACGTGGGGGCGTCTCGGCGGTCCCTGGAGGAAACCTACAAGATTGCACTGAAATATATGGACAGGGTGGTGTTTAATAACCTATACATATTATATTTGTGAAAGTCTGTCACTTTGGCAGCCTAAAACTTCCGAACCTCTTAACTTTCGAATCTGTGCTTGCTGATCGTGCCAGTTATCAGCTGGTTGGATATTCTTCTGGCTTTTCTACGCAGGTTGCTGTCTCTCCCCGATCTTTTAGAGACACCATCTTCCCTCAGTCTTTCCATTGAACCATGCTGTCAATGCTGCCATGACAGTTGGTGGACCTAATATTGCATGGTGCCGCCAATCTCAGCCTGGCGGGATACATTTTCAGCACGTTCATTGCCTTGAACTTCTGCATGACCGCACTTTCAATGAACACAAAGAGCGCCAGCAAAAACAAACACGGCATCAACAGCCCCGACTACAACAACTACCACCAGAAAAGCAACCAAAAAGACCTCAGCATTATCAACAATTTTTTTTTTTTTAAGCTGAGACCTCATAAGCAACAACACAAGCACTTCAATACGACAACAAAGAAGCGAACATGAACAGCAACATCAGAAAGAATAACCCACTAACAACATAACTATAAAATAGTTTGACAAAAACGACATTGACGTCAACAACAGCATCAGCAACAATAGCAATAACACTAATAATAACACCACCACCAACAACAACGACATTGACGTCAACAACAGCATCAGCAACAATAGCAATAACATCAATAATAACACCACCAACAGCAACAACATTGACGACTATAATACCAATAATAAAACCACCACCAACAACAACTACAACAACATCAGCAACATCGACAAAGACACCAACAACCATAATGACAATAATAGTTGTCTTACAACAACATTCCAACAAAAGACAACAAAAACAACAACAACAACAACAACAACAACAACAACAACAACAACAACAACAACAGCTGCACCTGCATCAACATCATCAACAACAACAGCTCTCTCTGGTTTCTTCAGGCAAGTGGCTGGGTAGATCATGTACAGAGACGATCTGCTCCACTGGTCTCTTCGGGCCCGACTGTCAATACATCTGTGCTTGTAAATACGGCGAGCAGTGTGACCTTGACAGTGGACATTGTGCGGCGGGATGTGAGGACGGCTGGATGGGCCCCAGCTGCAACGACACTTTATGCCCTGTTGGGAAATACGGAAGTCGTTGTTCTCAGGTGAGAAAAAAAAACGACAAACAAAACAAAACAAGAAATGCAAACAACAAATTAGAGCAGCAACGTATGTCATTAAGGTTCAACATTTCTAAGAACTTGTATTCACTTTTAGGGTGGCCTTGGCTGTCTAGAGGTTAGACTACTAGAATCAAAAGAGAGTGAGAGAGAGAGAGAGAAAGAGAGAGAGAGAGAGAGAGAGAGAGAGAGAGAGAGAGAGAGAGAGTGACAGACAGACAGACAGACAGACAGACAGACAGACAGACAGACAGACAGACAGACAGACAGACAGACAGACAGACAGAGGGGGAGATAATGTTTTATGGAGCATGTTGTTTCTTTTTCTGCACGTAAGACATATATTTTACTAATACCCTCTCTTGTTGTGTGTAGGTGTGAGTGCACCTAACCTTTGTAACATCCACTGCCATTGTAAACGACCAAGACAAATTTCTCCCTGCGAGATGAAGAAAGATTGTCATTGTCATAAACATGACATTGTGGGTGGCGTCGATAGTCTAGTGGTTAGACTACCGGACTCGCAATCGTGAAAGTGTGGGTCGTACCGGCATAGGTTGTTTAGTGGTTAGGCAACAGGACACATAGCTGGGAGAGTGAGGTGGGGTTGTGGGTGGCGTCGTTAGCCTAGTGCGTGTATTGTGTGCTAGACATTTACACTTTTAGGTTAATGAGTTTATAAATGATCTGGGCAAAATTCAAAATTTCCTACCAACTGAAAATGTTTAATGGGTCCCGCGCGCTCATGTGACCTTATGCAGTTGCGAGCGCCGAAAAAAACAATTACCAAAAAAAAAAACCGAAAAAATCTCTATATGACAGATTTGGGTTCGCCTTGAAAGGCATGGTCGAAATACCCCAAATTATTATGGGATCCTAAATTGTTTTGGATGATGGCGGAAAATATTACAAAAACATCCACTTTCTCCTTTGGGAAATTGTACATCTTGGAGTCATGGAGAGTGAATTTACCATCAAGTCTTTGTTCTTTACTCTTACCAATAGCCAAAGTTGTCCACTTTCAAAATAACCTAGCCTTACGCAGTAGGGTGTTAAACCCATTTTTTAAATTCGAACGAACCCCCTCCCCCTCCCCACTCCCCGCTTCCGCCTCCACTGGCCAAACCCCCTCCCCCCCCCAAAAAAAAAACTTCTACCCCCCTCGCCCGAACGTTTTTCTTCTTCTGTCCACCAAAGGACTGTGGTGATAGCTGCAAGGGTGAAGCGTGTAACGCGAAGACGGGAAGGTGCATCAGTTCTTACGTCAAAAAAAGGCATGGTGAGTTCAGAACCTGCTCTCCTCCTGTTTGAAGGTCAGCAATGACTTTCACCTTTGGCAGGGCGCGGGCCACATAAAGCTTCTTCCATTTATCTCTGTCCTGGGCTATCCTTCCAAGCTCGTACCAAGTGAGCTTCATCTCTCTCATGTCCGTGGTTGTAACATATTGTGTTAAGACTACGACGTGGAAAAATTTTACGTTGTCACGTTTTTTGTCCTTACTGACTGAAAATGTAGATCCAAAGACTTTCTGTTCCTTTCAGGTGTAGAATTTTTCTTTTATTTTTTTTGGTTTTGTTTTGTTGTTGAAAAGTGAAACGTATTAAGGGCCATTGTAGACGGCTTCACCATTTTATTACTTCAGTAAGTTGTACTGTGGGGATATAAACTATACTGTGTGTGTATGTGCGTGTGTGTCTGTGGTGTGTGTGTGTGTGTGTATGTGTGTGTGTGTCTGTGGTGTGTATGTGTGTGTGTGTCTGTGGTGTGTGTGTGTGTGTGTGTGTGTGTGTGTGTGTGTGTGTGTGTGTGTGTTTCTCATCCTCCAACGTCGTGTGTTTAGTGTGTGTTTGTGTGTCTGTGACAGCGTGTAAGGATCCACACAAGCACGGCTACAACTGCGACAAACAGTGCACCGTCAACATCACCGGCCTTTGCAAAGGCTGTGACCGGGACTTTGGCGATAGGTGCGGGGAGTGCAAGTACGGATACCACCTCAGCGCTGACGGAGAGTGTCAAGGTAGATATCATATAGATATATATACATATTAGAGAGAGAGAGAGAGA